AGTAGATGGTGCAGTGAAGTAGGATTAAATGTAAATCCTAAGAAAACAAGTCTGGTAGTCTTCACAAAGAAAAGGAAGAGAGTACTTTCCAATTACCCATTCTTAAATGGAGAAGAGCTATCATCCGTTACCCAAGTAAAATACCTGGGAATGATTCTAGATGAGAAGTTGACGTGGAATTCTCATGTAGACAATGTCATACGAAGAGCCAGAGAGGCATTATGGACCAGCAGAAACCTCATTGGTAAGCACTGGGGCCTTAATCCAAAACTCAGCCTTTGGATGTACACATCTATTGCCAGACCAATTGTAACTTATGGGTCAGCTATCTGATACAAAAAAGCACAACAGAAGACTGTAATAGATAAACTTCGCAAGCTGCAGAGATTAGCCTGCATAATGACAAGTGGAGCGATGAGAACTACCCCGACAGCAGCCCTAGAGGTTGCATTGGGGCTCCCCCCACTTCACCTACTAGTAAAAAAGGAAGCAATGACTTTTATGGCCAAGCTACAGTTGACTAGCAATCAATCAACAAGACTACTCGATAACTCCCTGTTAGGTAGGGAAATGCAAAGAGAGGAAGGACTAAATATCACCATATCTGACATTTGCTTACCTAAATTCAACTTTCACCAAAAGTTCCTAATACTAATACCAGACAGAAATGAATGGGAACGGAACATACCTCCATTCGCTGGAGACTACTATCTGTGGTACACGGATGGCTCCAAAACGATGGAAGGAGTGGGGGCGGGAGTATATGGAGTAAGACCTAAAGAGGAAATATTTGCGAGTATGAGTAAAGAAAACTAAGTTTTTCAGGCTGAAGTACACGCAATTGAATTATGTCTCAGGGTATATAAAGGTAAACCCGTCACGGGAAAAAAACATATATATCTTTTCTGACAGTAAATCGGCACTCCTGGCACTACGCTCACCTCGAGTAACCTCAAAAATAGTGTGGGAATGTCTTCTACTTCTCAAAGACCTTGCTAAAAGAACAGAGTCCACTTAATATGGATTCCAGGGCACAGCGGTTTTGAGGGAAACGAAAAAGCAGATGAACTAGCGAGAAAAGGGGCGGCCTCATACTATATTGGGCCACAACCATTCTGCGGTCGTTCGTGGAGCTTTTTCAAACTTAAAACTAATGAATGACTGAAAAGAGCAGCTCAGAATGATTGGGATAATACAGTTACCTGCAGACAAGCAAAAGAATCCATGCCGTTTCGATTAAAAGCCAGAACTAGGGAGCTACTTATGCTGAACAGAAGTGGCATCCGACTTGTCACAGGTTTTCTAACTGGACACTGCGGAGTTAAAAAACATTTATTGAATCTAGGTATTACTGGAGACGATAGCTGTAGACTTTGTTACGAAGAAGAGGAAACAGCAGGACACATATTGTGTCACTGTGATAGTCTTGCAAGACTCAGACTTCGCTACTTATCCATTGCCTATCCGCTTATAACGGAATTAGGCAACATCTCTCCAAAGGACATACTGGCATTCTTAACTGCTACTCGTCTATGGAACTGAAGCGGGCATGTCACAATAATCCTCGAAGATGCAGTGACGCGGTGACTACTTCCCAACCTTTCTTTTGAAAAAAAAAAAAAAAAAAAACCTAAAAAATAAGGAACGGTTTGATCGGAAATGTAGTATTACAGCATGTTCATAAATGCAACTTCTGAATTTTTATTCTTTTTTGTTTATAATGCAATTTTTTATATACTACTTCATTTAGTTGCATTCCCGAACAAACTTAATATGAATATTAAGTCAAGTCCATTCATAATGGCACAGCTGAGTACAGCTTTCATGACAAAACCACCGATTATTCAAGTCATAACATAATTCTACAGGTGTAAAGACCATCTAGACGAAACAATTATTCTTTATGGAAAGAAACAAACAAATTCAAATCTTCAATGGAATTTAAACTATTAATTCGCAAACATGATCGAAGTTAGGCTCGTACCCTAAGGAAATCTGCAATATATTTTTGAACCAAACCTACAGCTTGTTAATATTTAAGTAAATGTACTTACGTCTTTTAGCGGATGTAAGCTACAATCTTGAAATAAGCTTTTGGGGATTGAAGGATGCTTTTACCAACGTAAGTTTCAATAAACTCTTGATTATGATTA